GCTCGTCGCTCATGATCATCACCCAGGAAAAGAGGTTAAAAACGCTCAGTTTAATCGAATCACCTTGCTGAAACCTTCATTCACGCATGCATGCAGAGGTTCTACGTGAAATGCATAGGCTTATCCCAGCCGCCGATTGAAGCTAAGTTGGGCGTGTGAACAAAATGTTTCTCGTTTTTTGTGTGCAAGGAAGCGCTGCAAACGCGAAGAAAAGATGTTTAAGGGAACCAAAATTTCGCACGGCATAGCGGCAAGGGATCCTTTAGCGATAGGCTTGGGACTTCAAGGCCATTTTAGGCCACTCAGGGTCAGTGTGGGCTCTCAGAAGCCTGCTTAGGATCCTGAAGATCGGCGTTGGTCACCCCAAATAGTTACGTGTATGTGGTGCTTTAGGGCTTTCCGAGCCCAATGTGGGACCCTCAGAAGCCACTGCCAGTTTGGGCGGCGGGCGCTAAGAGACCAGGCCCAGGGTGAGCAGGGAGCCATCAAATAGCAGTGTGAACCCTGGAGGTCTGTGTCGAATCCCTAAGGACCCAACATAGGGACATAAGAAACATGTGCTGGGACCCTCAGAGGCACACCTGAGTCGTGACCCCTAAACTGCCGGCTTGGGCTCAGCAAAATCTCTCGCCTTAAAAAGCTCGGCTGAGCTATCAGAGGCCTAAGGTTCTCAGAAATTTTTGAAAGTACCTATCCTCAAAGATCCGTGTGGCCCTTCAGAGGTCTACGCATGTGTAAGGTCCTCAAAGATCCCTTTATGGGCTCTCAGAGAATATGAACACCAGTGGGACTCTCAGAGGCCGGTTTGGGCCCTCTGAAGGCTTCTTAGAGCTCAGTGGAGCTCCTTCGGAGCCTGTGTGAAATGCAAGCAGTCATGAGCCCTGTGACACTTGAACGGTACTTGAGTCTGTCGCAGACATTTGACGAGAGTTGAAAAAGGCCCGAAGATTTAGTGTCACGCTTTGAACGCAAATTTTGTATCAGCACTTCAAAACTTATGAAAATCAGCTATAAAATGTAATAAAGAACCAACTAGGAACATGAAATGAATCACAGTATTGACATTTCCGAGTCTGGAGTCGGCGTCTTGACGATGTTGGCGACTACGAGTCCGACTCTGGCTTGAACGAGTCTGACCTCACAGGCATTTTCCGCAGAAAGGCACCCCCATTTTTCCCCGACTCCAAAATCTCATCGGATCTGTATCGATCTCAGGGGGTGCCCGGTCCGAGGTTGGGGGGGCAAGCTGCCCCGCTTGCCCCCCCCCCCCCCGTGGCGACGCTAATGTCAGTAGATCTTTGGTAATTGCTTACTAAAAACGTCCAGCCTCAAACCTCGTACGGCCGGGGGGGGGGGGGGGGCTACGGTGTTCGTACCCGTCCAAGGTTTTAAGCAGCTAGCATAGTCACGGTGGCGCGTGCCGCGTGCCGCGACGTGGCACCGCCAGATTTAGTATACCGGCCTACTTATGGGACGTTCTTTGTCGTATGATTTCAAAGAAGTTATGAGAGAGTTAAACCCTCGCCCGGGGAAGGGGGAGGGGTCGATGCAGCCCCCCCCCTAAGATTTTTCGCAAACAAATTTGGCAGGGACAACCTTTTTTTTTATTTTTATTTTTTTTATAAATTTAGCTCGAATGTTTGAATGGACGGATTGACAGAGCCGGAGCCCACGCTAAGCAGAGCTTGTTGCGTAGACCCCGACCCCTACCGTCCGATCGCGCAATTCCGGGTAACGGGAGAATTTAGATGCCAAAGTTTAACGTGCCCTTCAAAGCCGGACACGGCCTGTCCCACTCAACTGACTTCAACTGGCTGCGGCTGCTCCCACCAACCGCAGACCATCCCCGTCAGGAGTCTCAAATATCGAGCGCCGGAGCGTCTCGAACCCGGGTTCTCACTACCGGGAGTCCAATGCTCTACCAACTGAGCTACGGGACAGGCAAACTGAGCTACGGGACAGGCACTGAGCTACGGGACAGGCAAGAACCTTTTCCCACCTATCCTGAAAATTTGAAGTCACAATCTTTTCAGGTCAGGTCACCAGGTCACAAAAGCTGGTACAAGGTCAGGGGAAAGTTTGACTAGTTTACCGGCAACATGCCAGAGTTCCTCGTTGATAGCGTGGGTGCTATGGCACCTAGCGCTACCAAAGTTCAAACACGACTTGGGGCATCTATTTGTCACATGACCTGGAAGTTTTAGATAACAGTGACTTGAGGGCAGGTCACAAAGTACAAAACCGATACATTGTCAAAATGGCACTAAAAATGCACTATCTTGTTCATTGAAACTAGAGTTCTTCATCGATTTGATTCAAACTTTTAATATATGCTTAGGTCACCGAGTGTCATCAGATACACCCCAGTTTTTTCTTCAAATTCCGTTGACCTGAGGTCATCGTCATGACAATTTTAAAGGAAACTTCCCCGAAGGTTTAACACGCGCACTGCAGCGGGTCTGAGCCGAACACGAACTGCAGGGGGAGGTTGAAAACACACCACCTGAGATCTCGAAAAGGGCGCAACGTAGCGACAAGCGGTGCCGCCCATCCCCTCCCCCCCGCCAAAAGTTTTTTTTTTCGCGACAGCTCCGAACACGCTGGCGATAGAGAGCTGAAACTTGGCATACCTGACCTTTGATTCAGGCCGGATCTTTTGACACCAACCGCATTTTCGGGTCAGGTCAGGTCACTGACCTATGACGTCATAAGTGAACCTCTGCACGGTCTTCAGATGTCGCAACTTCGCAACACCCTCACTGCGAGAGGAGCTTTCACAGGAAAATTGGCACAAAGTAAATTGACATTTCTATAAGTGCCATAGGAGCCAATCGCCACGGGATCGTACCAACCAGCCCCCTTCGCCGTCCATGTGATGGAAAGGGCTCTCGCCTGACGAGGTTAAGAGAGAGCCAAAGAGATAGGGAGAGAGAGAGGGAGAGAGAGGGAGAGAGAGAGAGAGAGAGAGAGAGAGAGAGAGAGAGAGAGAGGGAGAGAGAGAGAGAGAGAGAGAGAGAGAGAGAGAGAGAGAGAGAGAGAGAGAGAGAGAGAGAGAGAGAGAGAGAGAGAGAGAGAGAGAGAGAAAGAAAGAAAGTAAGAAAGAAAGAAAGAAAGAAAGAAAGAAAGAAAGAAAGAAAGAAAGAAAGAAAGAAAGAAAGAGATTACGCTCTATTGTGCTTCACTGCACTTGCCTGTTTACTGTTCACACCTTACCGCCTCCAGCCTTGCATGTTGCCATTCTAATACCCACCAGATCCAACCCAGACCGCCGACAGGCCCAGACCGTGCTAATACCACTAATACGAACACGCGTGAAGCTATTCCCCTAAATATGGAGCTAATTTGGAAGCATAGTCGTAAAGCAAAAGTCGCGCAGCTGCGATGAATCTTTATCTTCCAAAGTGTGTTCCTGTTCTGAAGAATATAGTACCCAAAACTACAGCCTGTAATCTTCAGGTTGCCTAGCAACGCAAGGAGTAAAACGAATTCTGAAGCAAGGTGCCCAGCAACCAGCAATTGTTGCAGAACACATTGCTGTCAAAGCTGGGTTACTGAACAGGTTGTTTTAAATGCATTGCTTTTGACTTGTTATTATTGGCTGCATTGCTTCACAGAGTTTGTGGCTGGTAAAAAACGCCAGGTAGCTCATGATATAAGATATATCCCTGAGGGTGTCCTCAGTGCTAAGCTTGTTAACAAATTTCAATTATAATTTTCTCATGTTAGGTATAAAGAGGAACTTGTCTCAGGCGACAGGCGTCATGATGCAGTAGCCTGTAGGTAATAGGTATTTCTCATGCAAATTGCCAAAAAATGCAACTTTTAATGCGTATTTTCAGATTCAGTAGAGGCGGAACACCTTCAATCAAGGGAGGCACTGCCGACTTTTGGTCCCATTCTTACCATGCGACGCCAATAGGGCTAATGTTGAAATGTCAATCAAAGGGGGCACGGTGCCCCGGTGCCCTCCCCATTCCGCCGCCTATGTCCAGATTTTTGCCCTGCAATATTTTTTTATTTAAAGTTAGCTAGGACAAGTTGATTTCACATATTCCATTCTCACAACACAAATGCAGCAATTTGGGAAAAGAGGATAGGTTGAGGTACCTAAATTGAAGGAATGCATTGACACCTTTTTGTTGTATCTCATGACAATGAAATCAAAATCAGTAATACGCACCAGGGCACTAAAGCGTCCGCACGAGATCTGCACCATAGGTTACTGCCAAGTGCCAAGTGCCCCTCTGACAAGAGCTTGTCAAAATTGCCATGTTTTGCAGGTTGGGCTGTCAAGTGTCAGCACTGGCAACCAATGTCTCATTGCTTGGAGAAAGTTGACGTTCAGTTTGCTTCAAGTTTCGCTACTGATAAACCATAAATTAACAGACTTGGCCACTGTCAAGTGTCAGGTGGCTTGTATTGTTCAGGTTCAGAATGGAATACACATCACTGCACTAAAATGTCTAAGTAGGTACTTTATTGCCAGATTTTATGAAGTTGGTGGCCATGATCTTCTAAGTCTTATTAAGGAAATAGGGATTTCAATTCAATTTGCAGATTCCAAGAACATTTGTTTGGCTTTCCATGCATGACAGAATATAGGCAGACTACAAGAAGAAATAAAAAACCTAACCTAACCTTACCTAACCTTACCTAACCTACCTTTATTTGCCTGACTCAATGTGTGGTTGGGTGTAAGTTATAAATGTTTTGTGTAAAAAAGTATTGTAAGTATTGATGTGTTGTCTCACTTAATTTCGACCAAAGAGGGATTAGTTTTTGCTAAGCATCCTTTTGTTTTGTGAATACTTCAGTTTCTAAAGGGCGCAAACTGCAAAAAGAGGAACTCACTCATGTGCTGCTCTCTGTAAGCTTTGTATGTATGTTTTGGATATAGATAGATCACATTATGTATTCCTACACAGTATATCAACCTTAAAGAGACAGGCACATGTGCATGTCAGAAGTTTGGTAGTATATTGACGATGGCTTCACTTTTTTCAGCCTAGTTCATACCTGACATTGAAAACTTCATGACCTATCTGAAGGCATGCTGATCCCTGAACTGGATATATTTGTTGGCAATGTTTTCATCATTGACTGGGAGATCTTCAAGCTCTGGCTGGATGGACATGAATGTAAGTGTCACTAAGTACCTACCAGAAGATTAAACATAGCGGTCTTGTTCACATTTTTTTTTATGGTGAACTAACTGTCTATGTTGAAGTGACAATTGTTCAATTCACCAACTTTTAAATAAGCACATGTTGAAACTTTTCAGGTAAAATTTGACTCATGAGGTAGGCAAAGGCATGCCCTGTTGGCTATCTTCCAGTTGTATTAGCTTTTATCTTCTAGTGCTCATTATCAAAGCTAACACTTAGCCTTATCTTTGGATTGAACACCATTCTTATTCTCACAAATGAATTATCATGCTTTCTTATACTTACTTATGCTTATAGTATGCGGAATTAAGGAACCGTTTTTGGCCTCTTGGCTCTGGATGTGACGAGCTATGTGTCGGTGTCTCACTGCGTCAGTGATTAAAATGTATTGTGTGCTTAGCGTGAGCCCAGTGTTTGTCAAGCCTAGCCTCAAAGCTGTTAACAGAGGGCGCATCGACCACAGCAGACGGCAGAGAGTTCCAGTCGTTCAAGACTCATATGCTGAAGGTGTTCCGCCGCACTCTGGAGCCGGCTCTTGGCTTGGAAAGTTTCCACTTGTGCCCTCGAGTTCTGGTCGTCGTCGCTGCAGTGAAGAACTGAGATGGGTCAACATCGACCCCGATGCTTGTTATTACATCCGCTCTCCCACACCCACTCTCACACACAATGACTCGTTCTCACCCCGTCCCCGGTCGTGCCGCCGCAGGTCCGAGCGCGGCGTCCATTCTCCAGCAGCGCGGCTCCCTGATGGCCGGCGCCACCATGGACATGCTGCACGGAGACGTGCTGGACCACTACCGCAGCTTCAGCACGCTGGAGCGCCTGCTGGAGGTGCCCACTCTGTTCGTCGAACAGCGCGTCCTGCAGATCAGTCCCAACGATCAGACGGACATCATCGAAAAGTGAGAGGCTGGAGTGGGCTGGGCGGACGACTGAGAGGGCGCTGGTGGGGAGGGTGAGGCACGCCAGGCGGATAACTGGTGAACAGCAGCTTCCTTGCGAACTCCATAGGTGGCGGTCCAGTGTAGTTCGCTGGACACTGACGGTGTCCGACCACCGTGGGTCGTCGGCTGCTCGGACGAAATGTGCGATGTTTGGGAAGGGATTCCGGATTAGTGAGGCCATATTGTCTCTTTTTATCCTGTGTTCCAAACTGAAGAACTCTGCGTCAGACAATTTTTATTTTCCTATCTATCTTCTCAAAACCGACCTTTGCTTTTCGGGACACTTCCTTTGTCCGGACTGACCGTCACCACGTCCGACAGCCGGTGGAGGATTAACTCCAGTAGGAGCACACCCCTTTGAGTATGTGACGGTATGAGTGGCCGGGTGGCGGGTGCCTGTACCGAGGGACGGGTTCGGCCATTTCGGAGCCCCGGTCGGTGGTCGAGTCATTTCTTCCTGCCCCCTCATCTCATGGCCCTATAGTAGTCTCGATGGACTGGATGGGCATAATTTAGTAGCAACCAAGGTTTTATAATTGTTCACATTTATTTCCCAACAGTGTGTTGCTGACTTTTGCGACCTAGAATGTAATGAAGCACTCATTTTATATGCCTGCCCGGACGAATTTACTCACGTTTAGGATTGTGGTCTTTTTATGGCATTCAGGGCTGGTTTTATTTAGCCTTTTTAGAAAAAAGTGCAGTATTAGAGCATTTCATAATTTGTAAGTAGTGTTTCCTGTAATTTGTGACGTGGTATTTGATAGTTTTCTATCGGCTGTGTGCTTTTAACAGAAACTTTTTAATTGCCTAGTTATACAGTATACAATGCTCAGTGGTTATTTAAACAGGGCCAGCTGAAGTATACGTAATGCATTCAAATCCATTGACTACATTGAATACACTATCAGGCAGATTTGCATATCAGTGCTCTCCCCTTGCTCGTCCCCAATTACTTGTCGCTGCCACCCTGAGTTGCAACACGGATCAATGGCCTCCGCTGGCCGGGGCGGGGCCGGGACCCGCTTCCGGCGAGACCTTGACCCCATGTCAGCAGGATCGAGCGGTTTCATCTCGCGCGGTTTATTGTGACGCCGAGAAAAATGGCGCGTTTAGCGTGACGCGTTGCCGGGCGTGGCTGATGGGTGGGAAGGAGGCGGCCGGCTGGGCTCACTACGGCAACATTAACGGGCTCCTTACGAGCCGCACAGAAAACGAACGGCCGGCCGTTACGAATATTGCCTGGAACGTAAACTGAATAGCTGTCGAATGTCATGGGCATGGCTCATTGGAAAACACTCTCTTGACCGTCATTTCATTTCACGATGGTGCGTTACCCCTGGGGACACTTGTTTGAGCTCATGAGGTGCCCTCGACGACTGCCGTCGGTGCGAGAAATGGAAATGGTCGCCTTACGAGCAGTTTGCTGACAGCGGATCGCCATTCTCGATGGCTCATTCGAGACTGTTTTGCTGTTTGCGTAAAATTGAGCTGGGAATATGATCGTCCTCTGATGAATTGTTCATCAAACTGAATCGCGAATCGGGGCAAGGAACCCTTTGTTTTGGACCTTAAGTGTCTTATCGCTGGGTGTTACTGCTATCGGGAGGGCTTGGACTTTATGCAATGCCACGGGACTGATACGCCTGCATAATGGAGCTTCGTGTCCCTTTGTACACACCTAATTAACGTACCCGTGATTGTGATCCTGTGAAACGCAGCGTACAGCACTTTACTTAACCATCTTATCGCTCGCAGTAACATAAATATTTCATGAATTACGTTTGTCCCCTATCATGTCACCAGGTACTACGACTTTGACGATGCCGTTATGAGGGAGCTGATTGGAAAGAAACCATCATCGAAGCTTCGCAAAGAGCTGGATGACGTGTGTGAGAAGACGGGCGTGCTGGTTCGCTCGTGCAGGTGAGTTAGCTGGATGGTGTTTTCCAGCAGACAAGTCACTTTTGGAATGATTGGCTGATGGAGGTGGGTTGTGGTAATGTTGGCTTGTGATGTTAATTTATTTTGCTGACCACAATTTTTTTAACGAAAGTAGGCTGATAGCTGTCGGGTTGTGGGTGTTCTGACAGCCAAGTGTATGATGTTTTGGTGTCATGTTTATGAATGTCATGTGCCGCTGATAAAGCGAACTTGATAGTCGTGTCGCAAAACAACTCGATTCGTGTCCAATATCTGGACTCTAAAGTTACGGAACATTTTGTGTTAAATTACATGTTGGTAGGCCGCGCCTCTAAGTGGGGAAGCTTCTAATGGGCCTGTTAGTCTGAGTAAGGAAGTGCGTCCGAATTACATTGCTTATCGTCCCTGAGTACCTTCACCGTGTTTTGATCTCTATTCCACCGCAGCCAACCATTACCGCAAAATTTAGGATCTCATTTGCCATCCTGCCGTCTAATTTCCTCCACCTTGCTCGACGCCTCGCCCGGCTAGTAGTGGGAACAAATACACCTCCTTGGCGTCATCTCTGGTGACACATGTTCGTCGTCATCACCGCCTCCGTCGGTCTAACGCTCCCCTCACCGCCGTCGCCGGTGGCGCCAGTGACCGTCCAAGACGGTTTACCGCCCCGGCCCGCCGCCCACCGACTCAAATCGGTCTCGGGACGGGCGTACATACCCTGGCGACTGCTGCTGTCGCGTGCGGCGGGAGGCGCCGCACGGGTCCTCGGGGACCTCTGTAGGCTGACGTGTCACCGCCGCCGTCGTCGCCGAGTCCGTCGTTTTCGTAGCTACGTCGGCAGCGGCCGTGGCGATGGTGACAGGACCGCCCACATGACGGTGGGTGGGTGAGTTAGTTCATTGCGCGTCGGCGGCTGCCCGGCCCGTGAAGGCGGGAGGAAAATTCCACCAGCCGGTGGTTTAGGCGACATATGGAGCCCTATGACAACTGCAGATGCAAGCTGTTTCTGGCCCTCGTCAATCATCGCCCATCTCCCCGTCACTGAATGTCGATTTCTGTCGCGTTTCAGGCGTCAGTTTGACAACGTGCGGCGCATCTACAAACAGGTGGACGAGATGACCGGTAACGTTCTGGACAACATCCGACAGCAGTTCCTGCTGCCCGACCCGCTGGCACGGTGAGGATCACAACGCGGGTCGGTGGTGATACAATACACTATAAACGTTGGTGATTTCTGCTCCTGTAGAAATGTGTAGTGTGTCCTTAGGCTACTTGCTAACCCGCGTCTGGTCATGGTCATGTAACTACACCTTTTGTCAGTTTATTTCGGTCCGTGCGCGTCCATTTTAGACCTAGCGGATTCTTTGTAGACATACCGCAAGGCTATGTATCAGTATAGCATTGCATGTCGGCCGTTTATAGCGGTGATCGGCATTAGAGCATTTAATTTCGGCGCAGCAGCAAAAGACGTCCGGTTTCGGCGTGTCCGCATTGTATTTCGGCGATGCTGTTGGAGATTGGAGACGGCCGCACGATATTTAGAACAGCAGCAACCAAATTCGGCGATATTCATTCAATTTCGGTGGCTATTTGGAAGCAAGCAGAGACTTCTTGCTTACAAAATTAGCTTGTTGGAGCATTGTTATTCAGTCAAACGTTTTTCAAGGTGTTTACTGTTGCCACTGTCTCATTGTCTGGACTTGAGTGCATGCCTCCAGCCCTCCACCCTCTCCGTTATGGCCGAATATTCCTCTCGCCATCGCCAGCGATGAGCATGATTTCATGTCCGTGCTTTCTGTGGATTAAACAAAGCATTACAATGTGCCTATTAATTTCTATCAAGGAAGTACAAATAACATAAGTTTATAGGCACCTGCTTAAAACGAAGCTGGCGGAGAACAAAACCAGGCCGACGGGGTACGCGACTACTGAACTTTGACCCCGCCCATGCGCCAGAGACGTCCGTCGCCCGGTGTCGTCGCGCGGTTGTTGAAAGGATGCGCCGAGCGCCGGATGGACAGTCAGATGCTCAGGGAGGGGGGGGGGGGGGAGAAAAATACACCTGCCGCAACTACGAGTCTTGTCCATGGGACGGGTTAGAATGTTGGCGCTAAGCCTCTGGGTCTGGTGGTGTTCGTGGGGGTGGGGTGGGGTGAGGGGAGGCGTGATGATACGATACGGAATGATTAATTTATTTTCGTGTCCTTCTGCACACAGTAGGTAAGGGATGTTTGATATTTCACGCTGGCAGTTGATTAATAGGAGATGATTACAGGAAGTGCAACGATAACCGATTGGTAGGACTTATTCTGGTATGGCTGAGCTAATTGTGTTATGTTTGATTGACGAGGTGATGGGTTGCTTTCAAAGTGAAGTAAAATAACAGGTCTTTTGATAAAATGGGTTCATGTTTTGGGCAAAAACTTGGCACACAGTGACAACAGCACAGACGTGCTTCAATGAAAGAGAATCGGGGCTTGCCTCGAGTCCAACAACGATTGGCGTTTGCCTTGTCGATCGTCGTCCGCCATGTGCGGACAGAAGCGGGTACTGTAATATAAAAAAGAAACCAGCCCACCACAGATGTTATCTTTTTAGGATAAATAGTACTAATTCAGTAAAGTTTATCAATTTTCACATCAGAATTCGAAACGGGAAACAGCGAAACGATCTTAGGTAGGTACTGTGACGCTAAACAAACAATGGCCTGCTTTTCTCCCCCTGAGAATATCTCAAAGCCACAAAGCTGTATGAGGATTCATTTGATGCTTAAGAAGCGTTCCTGAAAATATGAATCACCTGGATGCCTCCGGTTACCCGCCGAAATTGAATGAACAGTGCCGAATTTGGTTGTTACTGTTGCTAAATAGCGTGCGCTACCTCTAAACCTGTGCTGGCGCAGCCGATTCTACTTGCGCTATCGCTGAAAATGGAGCGTTTTGCCGCTGTGCCGAAATCGAATGCTTTACCGCCGACTGCCTGACCTGCGCCGAGATATTATGTGATTCTTGTACATAATATTGCGGTGTGTCTACACACATTTCGTTAGTTCTAAAATGGACGATTACGCCCCGAAATAAACTGACAAAAGGTGTAGTTGAGGTCTGAATCGGTTGTGATCACTGGGCCTTGGACTATACCTATAACTCATGGAAGAAGTATGTCCTGTGTGGTCTGTTTTACTGTAGAAGGGCCACAGCATAAAGACGGTCAACGGAGGTGGTTAAGACCCTGCGTTTTGTTTACGACCAGGTTGGCACATTTGTCATTGGGCTATTGCGAAATGCGCATGAAATACATCAGCCCGTTTGCTGCCCGTCCCATGGCTGGATTAAACATTGCCTAGCAGTTTTTCAATCCAAGCATTTTCCCTCGGCCCATTGACGTTTGCGTGCCAACCCATCTTGGGTTCCTATCAGGTGCCACTTCGCGAATCGTGTATAGGTCATGTTCCCACATCCTCCCACTTTTACCACCTTACCACGCTCCGCTCTCATCGCCTCCCCGACAGAAGCAGCGCTCCCTGACCCTCGGCCGGCGCTCTGTGACCCTCGGCCTGCCTCTGATCGCGCCGGATGCACTGTCGGCAGCCAATCTCAGCCGTCCATGATTGATTCTCATATTGACTGACATTCGACGGCGAAATCTGCGCCGTCAGCGCCTTCAGTGCCGCCTCGCGCCGACCTCTGCTGGCCAGATGAAATCGCGCCCCTCTCCCGGCTGGCCGCTAGGTCACGTTTCTGGCCGCTGACGACGGAGCTTTTCGGCCGGCGGGCCAAGTTTCCGGTCGAGCGGACTTTGAGCGGCGTCACTCCGTCTCTGTGGAAGGGTCATGTGGGTTGTGAATGGCTTCCGCACAACAGTGGAAATGGCACGCGAAGTCAGACCGACCACTTACCGGAGCTTGTGGAGGTCGATCTTTCGCTGTCACCGAATCGCGATCGAGTGATACACGAATGTCTGGATACGGCATGACATGTGATACTTCTCCCGTAAATATGCAACTGGACGACACAGACACTGTAACAATACGCCTTTGGTAGCTTGGCATTGAAGGTGAGGAGTGGGCACGCTAGTCTGCAAAGAAATGCACATAGTTACGACATTGTTGGTAACGTGTAAGTTATGAAAGACAACATCCTTCATATGACTTTATTTGCCAAACGCTTTCGGTTGCGAAGCATAGCCACCGGTTCTTACTAACACTTGGTCTCGACTGTCGCTGTTCTCACAGACGTTACGCCGCCATCCTCTTCCTGGACTGGGTCCGCTTCGAGACGCACAAGCGGAAGCTGGCGCACCTGACGTTCAACGACTTCTTCGTGTGCGCGGACGGTCTGCTGCGTCACTGGGCAGACGAAGAGTGCGAGTTGGACAAGGAGTTCTTCCAGGACCTGCGTGAGATCAAGGCCATCCTGGAGAGGGAGAAGGAGGCCAAAACGTGAGTGATATGGCCCATGACTACGGGTGAGAGGGGATGGATAAACTTTGATTTATGTGGTGGCGCTAAATATTTGTAGTTCGTTTCTTTGTGATGTTTTAGCACATAAGCGTAGGAACCATGGGTGCAAGGGTGCAGCTGCACCCACAATATTTATCCAGTGGGTGCAGACAATGTATTCTGCACCCACAATAATCTGAACCAAAAACCCCTTTTTCATCAACACTACTTCCCATGCAGCACGGCAAATTCAGGATATGTTGCCTACTATCCATCTTTCGAAGCATTTGCTACTGTGATCAGTGATGGTCTTCAAAACTTACATTTCTGCTGAAAAAAGGGAAATGGAGCATGTGATTGAACACATACCGAACCGATGACCCACTGTCAAAAATTTTAGCCCGATATCTTCGAAAGTGGCTAAGTTGGCCGCTTTTACTTTTTGCGGTAGTCAATATTGACAATATTAGCCCTCGAATGTGTGCAGCGTTTTCCAGCTTCTAATCCTAATGTGTAGGGGGAGGGGGAGGGGGGTCGGTCGGACCCCCTGCCGTTCGGCCCCTGATCGAGCTAGAGCTTCGCGGAAAAAACGAGGGTGTTGTCCGTGACGAGAGGAAGCCGATGATACCCAATTTTAAGGTCCTACTTCATTGGTTGACCTTCCAGGTCAGGTCAATATTTCAAAAGTCGGGAAAATCGGGACCTGCTAGAACTGCGTAAAGTGAAGCTGTTATCGGTTTTTTTCGGGGTGCTGATCACAAATATCTGATGTTAGTTTTGATCACAGATGATTTCTTCATGCATTTAGGCCAGATCGGGTCAGGTCAGGTCAGGTCAACCATTAGGCGTCCTACCGGCTATCCATAGTAGGTGTCAACTACCACTGATGGCGTCGTAGCATGTCACGAAAGCACTAAAACTACTTCGTAAACGTTCAAATGGATGCTAAATTCGAAATCAGCCCTATAAACTACCCTAGAAACATGTAAAACTCGAAAAAGTGAACCGAGGTTATCAAAGGTCAATGACCTGACCTGACCTTCAGGTTATCTTCACACCCACCGTGATGCATGGGAAGAACATCATTTCACATGTTTGTACGTCTACAATCACAAAAAGACTGGAAACGCGCGGATAATGTGAGCTGACATACGCCAAATCGCGATTCCGGCCGAACATGGTCTCGAGAATCAGGTCACAGGTCAAGGGTCTTTTGGGTCAGGGTCATGACATTTTTAGAGTAGGTTTAAAACTGATCAACTCGAGGGTACTAAAAGTTTCGTCGCGATCGGCCGCTTTTTGCGCGAGTTATTTGCGAACAACCATGGGGGGGGGGTTCATCCGACCCCCCTACACATGCGAGGGTCAATGCTTCCAAATGCACTTATCGGTTGGTACCTTTTCGACATGGTACACCCTCAAAGCTCGTAACGAGCCTTCGCTCGGGTGTCGCCCCCCCCCCCCCCCGCTTCACCAGCCATGGCTGGATTTCTGCACCCATGCTGATGCACCCACAATGTTCCAGCCGTTCCTACGCCCATGTTTTAGCATTGCACAATGCTTTTGAGCGATTTTATCATTCTGCTATTTTGCGGTGCATGCCAAGACGTTCAACACGTTTGTTTTGACCGAATATCTTCGCCATATCTTTTTATGTGAAATATTGTTTTGCGATCATGTCACTCTACAACTTTTTATCCATTACCTGTGATGTCTCCGTAACCCCTCCTCATCTTCACAGAGTGACCCTGAGGAAGCTGGAGGGCGGTCGCCTGTCTACGGACGCCGCCGGTGACCTGACCCAGAACTTTCGCTCCCTGTTCCGCTCGCTGGTCAACATCGCCACGGGCCTCTACCGCAGCAGGGAGCTGAAGGATCTCTTCATTGGTGAGTCACGTGCTAGTTACGCGTGTCACGGGTTCACGGGCACGCGTGGTAACAAAGTTACGTGACGTTTTTTGGTGGCATGTTTACTGGCTGAAGAGTAGATAGTGTTGTTTTGGGCTTTTTTATACCTCAGTGGTGAAGTTTGAGCTGGTGAGTACGAAAAGTCAGTTGCTGTGTGAATTGTCGTTGTGTGGCGAGTGAAACAAAGTAGTCCACAGCTTGATATCGCAAAGTGCAGAATGGAAAAGTTTTTGGTTTGCAAAGCTGGAATATCTTCCTTCAAATTCACATACCATCACATTCACATGCTTTCACATTATGGGAATTGGCTATATTACAGTAACGGCTACGGATGCAATTTCTGTTAACTTTTCGTGCTTAACCCTCGCCGGCACAGGCCATTTTGCGTCCTTCGACGGCACAATGGGGGGGGGGGGGGGTGGTGGTACGACCCCCCTCGCGTTTGGCCCCTGATCGAGCTAGAGCTTCGCGGAAAAAACGAGCGTGTTGCCCGTCACGAGACGAAGCCGATGATACCCAATTTTGAGGTCCTAGGTCATCGGGTGACCTTCCAGGTCAGATCAATGACCCGAAAACCGGGAAAATCGGGACCTGTTAAAAAGTCGTAAATTGTGGTTGCTAGCTATGTGGTTTTCCGGGGTGCTGATCACGAATATCGTGTTAATTTTGATCAGAGATGATGTCTTTAAGCATTTAGACCAGGTCGGGTCAGGTCAGGTCAGGTCAACCGGTAGGGGTTGTGACGGGTATTCGTAATACGTGTCAACCGCCTCTGACAGCTTCGTAACATGTTACGAAGGCACCAAAACTACTTCGTAAATGTTCAAATGGTTGCCAAATTCGAATTCAGCTCCAAAAACTAGCCTAGAAACATGTAAAACTCGAAAAAGTGAACCGAGGTCACCCGAGGTCACCAAAGGTCAATGACCTGACCTGACCTTCAGGTGACTTTGACACCCACCCTAATGTATGGGAGCGACATCAAATCACATGTTTGAACGTTTGAAACCACAAAAAGCTTGCAAACGCGCGGCTAATGTTAGCCGACATACGCCGAATCGCGATTCCGGCCAAACATGGTCTCGGAAAAAAGGTCACAGGTCAAAGGTCATTGGGGTCAGGGTCATCAAATTTTCAGGGTAGGTGTAAAATTGATCAATGCGAGGGTACTGAAAGTTTCGTCGCGATCGGCCGCTTTTTACGCGAGTTATTCGCGAAAAACCTTCCCCCCCTGTGCCGGCGAGGGTTAAAGATTAACGCCATAAAATATGTCCTTGTAACGAATGACTAACAATACCCATTTGCCGTCCTTCATGATACGTGCATGACCTTGCCGACAATGTCAGTTGGACTTAGCATTTGCGTGGCCGGTTTAAATGAAAATGTATATGGCGTCTTTGCGCTACATTCATTGATTTCCGCGATGCCGTCCTTACATTATGAAATATGACTGTACTCGTGTGATATTTCAAACAGTCCGTCGCAACATTTCACAGTCAAAGTGAGATTTATTTGGAGATGTCTACATGAAGGTTATCAATCTCAATTGCCGTGAAGTCCGAATTAAGTAATATTTGGTGTCTTTTTCATGAACAAATACAAAATGTATTCAATACAAATAATGTATGATATTTCGCCTACATACTATAGAAGGTAGCCAGTGGTGTCAATTTCAGAAAACGTATGTCCAAAGTCCGTCCAATTTCCAATGCTTACGTCGACTGTCCGTCCAAAAATGTCCAAGCCGGCCATTTGTCCAAAGATGTCCGACACCTACGCAATAGTTTACACTCAACACTGTTATTTAATTTGCTTTTCATGTACCGTTACCAGCTCAAAAGTGTTAATCCTATTGAAAGCTGAGCTTTCTGATAGCCAATCAATGTTAAACACGATTACTTTTTTAAAATGTTGAGGTGTAGCAAGCGATTGTCCAAAGTTGTCCAAAGCCTGCTGCCATTGTCCAACCGAATTCCGAATTGGACATTGGACAAAATCGGAATTCCGAGGATTCAAGTTCCGATTGACACCACAAGAAGGTACATAAATCATTGATGTGCAAAATCTTATAATAAAGTAGAAGAAAAACAGACTGCTTCAGTCTGCGTTGTCGCCGTTAAAAAAAAAAACATTTAACCTCATTCTTGTTTCATTCGTGTACGACAGTGTATTGTGACCGGAGATGTCTGGCAACGAGCAAACTATTGTATTGTTACCCAACCAAGACTGAAAACTGCGCCACCAAACCAAACCGCACCCGTACCACGTGCCTGCTATGGAGGCGCCTTGGTGGCTTTCTTTTCAGACGCCCGAATTGGACTCTAGAATGCTGTGGCCTTGACGATATTGGAGTCTCCTCTGACAGTGGAGCGCGGCGATCACTTCTAATAAACGTCCCAATCACTCGCCGTCCAGATCAAATCTGTACAACTTTTCCTCTGATTGCTGTCCTGTTTAGTGTTGGCATGGAACGTCAGAGCAGTCGTCTGTAGCACAATTAAATTGCCGATTCTGGTAAATGAACGCCCGCCTCCGCAGGGAACCCATCTGGATCTAAGTGTAATCAAACACTCCAGAGAAGAGTGGGATTTGTTTGGCGTCAGGACATCTCATTTAATCATCAGCCGCTCTCCAAACATGTTTATCTCGCTTTCACAGGGCAGCTGGTGTTTTTCAGCGGATCCTGCTCTTGTCTTTGTCATACGCACGAACTGACGGCGTTTTACAGCTGTTGCTATATTCTCAGCCGGCTGACGGGTGCCCCGGGCGGGTCGTTCCCAGAAGAGATGTTTCCGCGGGGTGGCGTCACTTTGCAGCGCTGCCGGCGCTTGTTGGCGTGGCGCTGCGCCGCAATTGTACCCGACACCGGCTGCTGTCGCGTCACGTTTGTGACGCCGCGTCATGTCGGCAGACCGTGACGCGTGGGTGGGCTTTACATGGTTCGTGACCTTTTACGAGCCCTCTGCTTCCGGATCATGAGAAACGTGGGCACAGGGTTTAGTTACATAAGCCTGCCGGCGCGAATAACCCATCTGTTTGCTACTTAGGTGTTGTTTTTATCCTGGAGTACGAAAAACATCATCTCACACCATCTGTTTGCTACAGTGTAGCATCCTTTTGCAAGTTTTATTATCCGCTGAAGTGCAACTAAGATCGAGTTAGAAACGATTGTTAAAATACAAGGTGGTGTAATGGAAAGTTTGCCACAACATAAGCCGTGCAGCTTATTTCCCTACAAAACATAATGCGTGTTTTGTTCGGTAATAGAATAATCGCCATGCCTCAGCGCTATGCTTTGCCATGTCTCACCGCTAGGCTGGGCCTCGTTCCACCAAACCCTATTGCCCCTTCCCACCCACATGCGCTATCCGCTCTGACGCCCGCCATCTCTGCCCGGCCAGACCTCCAGGAGAAGATAGTCGAGCCGTGTAAGTGCGCGCGCTGGACACAGTCGGACATGGAGTCCTTCATCGCCGCCATCAACTTTGACGCCTCCGAGATTGAGACCTTCCGCAGGCAGGTCACGGGCGCGGCCGGGTCCGTATCGCCCGCTGGGGACATGGGGTCACAGCGGGGGACGCTGGGCAGTGCGTCCCGCCGGGGCGGCCGAGAGCCGCCCGGACCGCTGCTAAAGCCGATAGCGTACCACGACTGATATGGCTATTTCACGTCCGGTTTGGTGCGCCTAAAGGATCATTTGTGATATAATGGTGGTGGTGTTTTAGGAATGAAGATTAAAGTAACGGCTACTGGAGCTTGCTGTGGTAAAGTTGGCCCGTGTGTTTTTGGTCAGGTGTTAAGCTGGTTAGTACTTCTATTACATCTAGCTCTAACGGTTTATTTTTTTGTTCGCCTCCTGGCAAAAAAAAACTAAACTTGAATTGCATTTATTATAACTAATATGTTGGCGTCCACGTAGTTTTCTCACTGGGTGACGGGACGGCCGTTTATTGATTTCTTTTTCGGTGGGCAGGGAGACGGACCTACCGATCCTGTGGCGCCGCTACCTGCGCGCCGTGGGGCCCTGCATCCTGCAGCTGTTCGCCAGCTGACGACGGCTGCCCCGGGGCCGCGCGCTGCCCCGGTGACCCGGCAGGGGTCACGGACCGCCCCGGGCGACAGCCGGGGGCCGACCGGTGGCGCCTCTGGTGACAGACGTGTGAACTACCCGCGCCCGGCCACCGCGTGGGAGCGTGCTGAAGGCGGATATTTGTCGTGATTGGAGATGCAGGTCACATGACATTTAGCTTCCATGTGGCGTGTCGAAGACGCGGCTCATGATGATATCATGTACGCATGTAATATTACAGTGTGGAAGTTTGCTAGGGGCCGCCAGTATTTCATTTTATAGATATACGGCAAAGAGGATTTTGCCGTGTTGTTATTGTCGATAAACGCCGTTTTGTAAATAACAGTGTGAAACCTGTTCATGGCTCATGCTCGCATAGTGTGTAGCGTTGATCATGTAAGTTGTACTCTCTAACCCTTAGAGATGCCTGCCCACTGCCTGAAATTACACAACGCAAACGTATGTCGTATACATCTATTCCAAATGTGCAATACACTTCAAGCATAGTGCTCGACGGTCTGTAATCTTATGCTGTGGCAGTGGTAATGCTGCGGCTTGCGTCCGACTGCGGCCAGTCTGCCACGTCAAGATGTCCGGAGGAGACTTTGTCGCTAAAATGTTTTCGCAAATGTGTTTCGAGACCCATGCATGTCTTGTTCTAGCTAAAAATAGCTCGTCAGTTGTCTAGCTAATGACGTCGGATTGCGTAACTCAGCAGGCTGACGTTCTCCAGTATAGCCTCGGGACAGGACGTATTATCTTACCACTATTCTTAGCCGGGATCCGGTAAGAGTTTGTTTTAATCCAATTTAACTAATTAATGTCAAAACCTGAAAACACGTGGTCGTTGAAACAATGCCCTGAAGGGAGTTTCTTGTGAAGCCCCGAAACCTTAACCCACGAGCCGCTGGGGGGGGGGGGGCATAAAGTTGCCCCCCCCCCCTTTACGTTTTGTGAAATATCTCCGAAACCTGATGAGCTACGAACGTGAAACTTGGCATAGCTTCAAATGAATACCTAGGCAATGTTTGAGGAAAGTTTGGTGGTTGTAGCACCTAAGATGACGTCACAGTGACGTCATAAAGTTTTGCCGTTTTCCGATATGGACCGTTTCTGATGACGCTGAGCATGAAACTCAACTGTAAATGAACTAGACAGCACCTGCTGTCATCCTAAAACATCTAAGTACACTTCCATCTAGTGTCTGACCAATAATTAACCCTTTATATTCGGTCCCATATATCTGATGTATCGTGAGGAATATGAGAGACGCAAATCTATAATTTCACTTATGACGTCACTGTGACGTCACTTCAAATGGGATCGACACCAAATTTGGACACAACCTCGGCTAGGTATTCAGGAAGATGTGTGCAAAGTTTCGCTTTTCTATCTCTTCGCGTTGCGACGATATCGTCGCAGAAGTAAAGGGGGGGGGGGCAACTATATGCCCCCCCCCCCCAGCGGCCGGCGGGTGGCGCGGAGGCCCAGCGGCCGCCGGGTTAAGATGTAGAAATGACCGGGATCAAACGACGTTGATATGGTAGGTACTGGGTGGGCCTCCGATAGCACCGCGTTGAATTCATTTTGGTCGCTTGTTGCAAAGGTCAATGGTTCAAAGGTCAGATGCCCCATTGAAGTGCGATGCTTTGAGACAAATACCATGGATGATATAACACAGATGATATAACAGATGATGCTATATTATCATCTCATCCATGCAAATACGATGACGTTGCATTGGAGGTCGCCCCACACCCTTTGCAAAGCAGTTAGCGGAGCCAAATGTAGATAGGTAGTTTGGTACATAGTGTCTATAGTACCGAAGTGTTCAACACTTTGTTAGTAACAACATGGTTAGATAGCGGGGTAAAAAAAAAATGTAACGATTTTCAAGCGTTAGGAAACGCTTATGAGGTGCGCAGGCTCGATCCTCGACAGTGTCTGCACCTTGGACTGGTCGAGAACCCCCCCCCCCCGCAATTGTACGCCTTTATCTTGGTGTGTCGCGAAAACTGATACCTAAACTGAACTGGGACCGGGCGAGACATTCGTACATCGTAATTATTGTTGTTTTGGATGTCTACTGAATGTGAATGAACATTTGGCGTTGATATTACTCAATGCCCTTTTTTGTGTTTTGGGTACCCTGTATCGAAGCATTCTTCGGACCGTCAATATTCTGTCGGCTTTCAGTTTCCGAATATGCCACGTCGCGCACAATTTGAAATGCAAACAACCCGGTTGACCCCATTCACCCATAGACTCCCTCCCTCGTAGCACGGCGATGCGATTCCGGTCGTCTGGCGCGCTTCGCATCAAAAGAATATGCACGAGTTACCGCCCGTGAAACTGATTAAATCCCGCTGTTGACACCCTGGTGTTCGCCCTCTCTCGTCTCACCCTGGGACGGGATCACCCTGCCTCGCCTGTCGTCAATGGTCGCCGGCCCAGTTCATCAGGAGTCGTCAGCTCGAGTGCATTTTCGGACGCAATCAGAGACAATGGCGTCTGGCCGGGTGACGACGTAGCGCTCCGGGACATTAGCAGCGCCGCTCGTCAGCCGGGCCAGTCATCATCGCGGCCGGTGTCGGGCGCAGCTGTCAGATTGTGTCGAGCTCAGCTGTCACAGTATGTATGTCGAGCTCAGATGTCAGATGCTGTGTGTCGAGCTCAGCTGTCACAGTGTGTCAGCTGGAGACACGCAGTGTGTCAGCCTCTGAGGTGGCGTCGATTGCATCAGGAGAAGCTAATGTAGGTCGATGCTTGGCAACTTCACGGGTCGGTGTCTTTCACTACGGCTTCAATCGATGTCCCATTCTGTTGGTTACGACTTTATTGTACCTTCTCGTTATAATTCATGTAGACATTTTGTATTTTCATATACCTGTATAAAATGCTGCTGGCTCTCGGTGGGCCTCTACCTGCAAGTCCGGATATGCTTCCATACGCTCCATATTGCATACATTCCAGACCTTCATACGTCCATCTTGCAGCCACGACCCAAACTCCTCCTACAGACACCGCACATATTGACGGACCTTCGGAAGCGGCAGCCTCTCTGGGGTGCGCGAGCATATGGAAGGTGTACCGAGGCGCATCGCGTACGAAAGGAGGCACTCGGCGACTGGTCGGACGGAACGGGCGGCGTTTTGTGGGAGCGCCGGAGGAGCTGTGGCAGTGGACCGTCTCCGATGTTTACTTACAGAGGTCCGAGAGGGTGGCGGAAGCGGCAGAAGGGCTGACCGAGAGGGGCGGAGCGGAAAGATGGGGCTGGGAGAGCCTGATATCGACAAAACTGTCAACTGCACGGCTTGTATAGCGGTGGATATAGCCTGCTTGCCGTTAAGTGAATGAAAGTTTGCTCCCTTATCATCGAGCATATTTCGTTATTACTCGACTTTTCATTTGCTTGCCAAGGCTTCATTCTCGTGGTGAAACAAAATTCCTTTAGCTGAGAGCATGCGTCAGCAAAAGCTATAATCTAACAGCGCGCTTTTTAGCGTTCTAAGCGAGAATCTCTATGCGGAGCTGCCGCCTTTTGTTTCATCTGAGAGCCAGTTCTGGCTGTGGCGTGCCGAACGGCTTCATTATTTCCACTTTGTTTCGCTTGTCGGGCCGGTCAATCAGGCCGCCAGCAGACGCTGCGGTCGGCCCAGTCAGCAGTCTGGCCGACCGGCTGCCAAGACGCCAAACTCCAATTTTCCCGCCGGCATAAACAGAACGATCAACGGTTTTAGGCTGCGGTCCAGCGGGGCCCGAGAACCTTCAGAAACCAGTAAAGCAGCACCAGAAGGAAGGATTACGTGCTTCTTAAATGTCGGTCTCTTTTGAACACCACTGGTATGCGGATTCAGAATCAGGTAAAGAAAAAGATGGGGAAATACATATCACCTCAAAATGAGATTTTCATTCATGACTCAGTCTCAGCCACTCCTTTACAAGATGCATTAAAACAGCATATTGTTAAGTTTTTTTTTCAGCTGATCTATCTGTCGCGCTTGCCTTACCCTGAAATGCTACCAAAATGAGATCGTGCTTAGAAGCATGGTGTGGGCCTCCAATAACAGCGTAGTAAACATGCAGCAGCTCCGGTGCACAGACATAAACTTGCCGTAAGTTCTATGTTTCGCACGCGATGAGATCGTTACCATTCACTGCTCGGGTACCCAGCTCTCACTTGAAGTCACCAACACAGGGACTCCGAGGCGGTATGGAAGAAACTTTGGTCATAAACGCAAGACGAACTAGCACTCCGGCCGTTCCAAGTTCCGTCATTGGCATCCATTTACAGGCAAAGTGCGGGACGCAAGACCATTAGAGTGCATTGAGTGCTGTAGTACCTAATCGTCTCGTCTCTGTTTACCTGGATTCTAGTAAGGCGTGGACGCGGATTAGAGTCGTGTAACGGCTGACATGGTTATAATATGAGAGACTCAAGAGAGAAAGAGAGGGAAAGAGAGAGCTAGAGAGAGAGATAGAGATAGAGATAGAGAGAGAGGGAGGGAGAGAGAGAAATAAAGAGGGGAGAGAGAACTGGGTTGTCCGGCTACCATTGCCAACAGTTTGTAGAAAAAGATCCTAACATAAACCTTTGTATACCTCCCTCCCGCAGTGAAGTCATATACATGTATCTAGGACACCCAGTACCCAGTTGAAGTGTAACGAACGTGCAATGTGCGTGTCTCTCTGAAGAACCTTTTTAGTTCCGTGTAAGAGTGCGGAGCATAAATATGATGCCTTCCTGGCCTTAACCCTCGCCCGCACATGCCATTTTCCCATCCTAGAACGCACATGGGGGGGGGGGTTGCCACCCCCCCCGCGCCATTTCGTTCCTGTTGGAGATAGAGCTTAGCAGTAAAGACCAAAAAGATTCTTTGGGAAGAGACGAATCCAATGATACCCAGTTTTACCTTCTCAGGTCAGTCATTGACCTTCCAGGTCAGGTCAAACTAAAAAATGTTGCTGTTTTGGGTCACCGTTGGATATCAAGTGTGCTGCTTATCAAATACCGATGACGATGCTGTTTTCTGGTGCCAAGCCAGCACTGGCGGTCGCAGCCGCTAGCAAAAGGGGGGGCCAAAGTCACACTCGCGGGACATAACATTTATCCGTCACCGGGAGGGGGGGGGGGGGGGTGATCAGCTAATTTTTTACGTCCACGAGGCGCCGCACAGTTGGCATTACTTATGCTTCATCCATCTCATTCTTGCGTGAAATCTTTGAGCTCAATTTAAGGCAAAATCACTAGTTCCATTTACCGTCTCACGGTGTGCCCACCGGTCGGGCCGCTGCACCGTCCATGACGACGGATCGGTGTAGCATAGGTATACTGGAAGGTCAGGCACGCGGATTTATGACCTTACCACTATAAAACAATTCGGAAAAGTACAGATACATCTTGCTAAAAAGTACAGATACCTCTTGCTTTGAACAAGCATGTGAAACCCAGAGAGCATTTTTAGACTATGACATTTACCCATATAGGTACCTAGTTGTGTGGCGGCGGGAG